GGTAATAATAAACAGATGAATAGGAGAGGAATGTTATGGATAAATCTGTGACTATATATGTAACATAAATGTGTTTTACGAATAGATGATATAATAATGAATCCCCTTTTTTAGTAAATAATAATAATAATTTACATTTTATATTTATAATCGAAAAAATTTTGTAAGACCTAAGAAGATAGATATATAAAGTACTAGAAATGATAAAACATTTATACTAAACAATGACCTTGACTTTATTAAAAAAAAAATTAGGAGAGAAAAAAGAAAATATTTCATTTTATTGATTTTGAAAAAGAAAAAAATCTGAATTTTGATTGAATGGATGAAAAATGAAAATTAGATCATTATCATAATATGATCAAAGGGGAATATTTGATCCTGATATCTTTAGGATAAATAGTTTTATTTAACAGCAGTGTTAAACAACAGTGTGAAATTCATATTTCATGTACTCGAATGCCCTGGTACAGCAAAGAATAGGGAGAGTACGCTCTCCCTCTCTAAATGCTCTCACATGGCCACGCATATATAGCCTATGACAGGGAAGTCCTACTCACTGCCTTCTCGTAGCATTACTGTTGTTTACGAAATTGATAGGACGAAAAGCAAATGTCCGGCGGTCTAACCGGACCAGTGGATACGGAAAGTTCACCTAGTGGAGTTGGAAAACCCTCATTCCAAACCAATGATGCACATGGGCTGGTTCCAGTATCCTGAGGGAACGAATGGATTATGAATCAGTTGTTGATCACCGGCTACCATGGGACTGAATCTCCTCACGATGCTCCACTGCTTTGTGGATCAGATCTTTAGGTCAAAGACTCTGGTTTGTCGCCCCTTAAGAAAACCACCTGTTTCAGTTTGGGCACATGGGCAGTATCATAGCCCTCACACAAATCAAATGAGATTTGTGTGGCGCATATGTATATGGTGCCCCTTTGTACAAATATTTATGTGTTTAAATAAAATAAAAATACTAACCAACAAGATTATCTGGTTACTTAAATGAAAAAGTAGTGTTTTAGTTTTAAATCAAGTTATTGCTGTACCAGGCAGCAAACTATTAAAGAAATTTAAATATATATGAGGCTCACTTGGTGCTTGCATACCGACCATAGCTGCTGCCTTGATATGATAGCCGAACTAGCCTGTAGTGATAACCCGATCGATCTATAATGACTGTAACACTAATTCTTCTAGGTCTTATCGTTTCAGAAAGGCAAAAGTAAAAGCAGCAACTTAGGGTTCAAGGTCAAAGTCATAGTGATGACTGCACTGGAGTGTAATTGCAAAAAAATTTCCCTTAGACAGCCAACATCTGGAGCAATGTTGCTTTTTCTCAACGGAGAAAAAAGAGTTAGAAACAGTCAACTCTAATATCAGCGTACTTCATTTTACCCTACAGATTTTCATTGCCGACAACAAGGCTTTTGAACTGCGGAGCGAACACACCAAGATTCTCTTGCGAAAAGCCCATATGTGACCTACATCAAGAAGTTGTCTATCGCGTTCTGTAGTCAAGTTGCCAAGTTAATAAGAACACTTACAATTGAGTTTCTTCTCTAGGCCACTCAAAAAGAAGTGCTCTTTTACAGAGTATGCAACTGGGAAGTAAAAACCGGCCAAAATACCTGTAAGACAACTCGAGGTGATTATTTACATATTTGGTCAACTCCAAAATACATGGATAACAATAAGTAATACAAACTGAATAAAAATAATTTAGAAACAGCTGGTGGATAGAAATACATAAAGAAGTGCCAATTGAGGTCATATCAATAATTTGTCTGAAAATATTAGTACAAACAAGAAAACCATAGTAATAATTTATTGACGAGAAACTATTATTATTATTAGCCATTACTTGCATAATAAAAACGGATAACAACAAGTGAATGAATAGAAGCTGGGAAACGGAAGTAGGTGTATGAATTCTGAAAATTGTATTACATTGATGTTTTGCAGACAAAAAATAAAGTAATCTTGATATAATACACTATGATCATCATAACTGAATACAGTGAAATGTACTAATCAGATCTTTATAATATCTAGTAGCGCTGTTAAGTCTATCATTAACAAAAGCAAGCATACTACTACTAATACTACTATTACAAATCAGTAGTTAATGTATGTTATGAAATAACAATATTCATGTCGACGTTAACATTCCTGCTACCATCGGAAAGTTACTAAAAATAAACTCAAAACAAATAAATAGGTAGACAAGAATGAATTACTTCTGCATATAGTATTTTAATCATCTAAATTTTTTAGAAAATAATAATGGAAAATAAATTTTAATAATTTTGCATCAATTTAAAGAGTGGCCTACATAACAATATACACAATATATAAAGATTAAAATGATATTGTTGACTAGTAGGTCCTGAGTTCGAATCTCGCGAGGCGGGGTCACGGATACTCACTGCTGAGATATCCCATAATAGGATGAAACGGCCGCCCAGTGCTTCTACGTTTTCGATGGTGATTTAACTTTAATTGACTCATGTTTTCAACTATAAAAAATGTACTTAATTAGAAGTTGCTGGGTTTTCAGTATAGGAGTTTAATGAAATACGACTTAACATTCAATTTGTAAACTGTTATTAGATCATTTATTTTCAGATGATTGTTCTTCAATAATAACTCTAGTATTAAAGTTTTTCCACCAGAAATGCCCCATTTTTCGAATACATTGTAATCAACAAATAATAAGTAACTGTTTTGAGATCTTAAACAGCCTTCAAGAAAAATGTTGAACTAGTATTATAGTGAACGAGAACGCAAGTGGGGACAATCGAATATGTTCAAATGCGAAATTACAGAATCTCTTAGTAAAATCTGAGAACCATACAGCAAATAGTTCATTTGCAAAATGTCAACCAATCGTCTCCGAATTCATTGTCCTTTCGTTTCCATCTCAATCATTCTTTGTTCTCGTTCTCTTTTCTTCTTCTACCTCCTTAATCTTCTACCAACAGGTATTTCACTTTCTATTGGTAATACATACTACTAATATCTGTCGACATCAGCACCACAATGTATATATATAGGCAGAGAGAGAGAGAGAAAAGAAAGAGATTTAACTAACAAATTCTTCTTAGTGACCTTTTCAATTTTTGCTAACGAGTTCTCTTGATATTTTTTCATATAATCATGGTGACATATGTATTGAAAATGTAAAATTAATTAGAAAGGCTTCGAAGTGGCTTTGATAACAAGCCAATGGGAGTTAGACAAACATTGAAAACAGTTAGATTCTAGATGAATATCATGTAATTATAGGCTGAACAGGCAATAAACTCTAGATCGAGAGGTTTGGATGCTAGTCTAAGATGTAGAAACTAGATTTGAAAACGACTGGTAAAAACTAGTCACTTTATTTAATAATAAACTATTTATTACTATGTATTGAATTCTCAGTATAAACCTAATCAAAATACTATTTGAAACGACTAAAGGAACCTCCAAGCACTACCGAAGACATGAATTCTTAGTGGTAGATTGGCTGCAACGAAATTCTGGAGTGCATTTTAAATTTTCTAAAAGTCTTAAATCCACTACCTCTAAAAGAGATCTAAAATTTTATTTCACAAAGTCGAACATTAATAGTAGAAACACCACACTTCATCCAAAGGTTTTGATCGGTTAAAGAAACTTTCCAAAACTATAATGACGATGAAAATAACGGTTTGTATCAACCTTAAGCATCAGATTTATCTGAAATCTTAATAAATATTTATTTTCAGAATGGGGATTTGTGGAGATTATAGTGATTTTAATAGTTGAATTCATGAGTAGATCTAAGCTAGACCACCATTAAAAACTTGGAAGCACTGGACGACCGTTTCGTTCTAGTATGGGACTCCTCCCTGGTGGTCTGACTTAGATCGATTCACGAATTCAAATATTAAAATATTTATTTGTTGATTCCTTAGTGCATTACTAGATGCTATTTATGAATTAGGTAGAAGTCAAAAGTTATTATAACTAAAGTAAAATGGATATAACTTGAAAACAATCATAACTGGAGTTCGTAGTCATTAACTCTAGGTTTTAATTATGGAAAAGAATGTACAGTTTCATGACTTTTCGGCAATATGACAGTCAACAAACTATAAGGTTGAAAACTACTAACGTAAAACTAATCCGTTAACTCTTCTAACTCAAACAGAAGCCAAAGTTTGTTACTAAACACATACATACAAGCTATTCGTTTCTTTATATGCCACTATATGAGAGGAGAATCGAGAACAAACATATTATTGTAATTAATTTTTTATCAATCTAAAGAAGTGAAAGTCCATTCTATCATAATAATCCATCCAACTTAAAAAAGGGTTCATATAATAGATGATGCAAGTAAATAAAATTCATCAATAAAAAATGGCCATTGGTAAGTACTTGTGATTTTACTGAAAAGCTTGAAGTGTAGATAAAATGTCTACCTGAACTGATCAATAATTTGCACTTTTGAATATAAATATAAAAATAATTTGCCTGCCGCTAATTTACGAGCGTCTGATAAATCAATATTGCCTAGCTTTAAAATCCCATGTAGGAGAAGTGATGTACAAATTCATGCCTCTGGACATATTCCTATACATAATATGTGTATGAGCATCATGCATATATCAGTAAAATTGATGGAATTTTAAAATAAACAGAATTACTTTCATAAATTTATCAATAAACAAAATGCAAGAGTTTGTGAGAAAACCATGTCCAAAAGTTACTTTAAGTGTCAAAAATATATCATGGAATTAATTTGATCTGGGTTTTGTGCTGAGACAAACCACTTAAAGGCATAGCTGCAAAATACGGATACATTGAGAAACCTCATCACCCAAGGTCAAACATGTAAACTTCACGTTAAAAAATTGTAAGCCACACTTTTAAAAAGCTACCAATTTAAGTGGTTTCACAAAAACTTCTGAGTGACCAGTTTTAACCATAGTTACCATGTTCTAATTCTAAGAATACGCAAAACTTACCCATTAATATAGAACAAAGAGAACAAATGAAAGACAGAGGATGCAAAGAAGAGTGAGACGATGGCAAGGCCATAAACGATTGCCGCCACTGATTTAGAATATGTATCTGCCTTTGAACACAGTTTAATCATACCAGCAACGCCAAGTGGAACACATGGAACATGTGATATGCAATTAGCTAAATGTTCCACAGTCGTTGGATGATAAGCTTTACCAGGTTGAGCCGGAGAATTTTTCCATCTGTTGTCAAACCAGGAGAAAAGTTAAGCAAGATCAAGAGATGAAAAATGGTCTGTATCAAGTAAAAATGTATGTTAAATAAACTGTAGTAAACTTTAAGTTTTGTAAATCAGTATAGTCAAGGGATGTTTTAAGTGACATGGCAATAACTGACAGTGCTTTTAATTGAGATGAAAAATGTACAACTCCAAACGTTCCTAACATTTTGAAAGGTTATGTACTTTTGTAACTTGATTACTAAAGTAATACAATTCAAAATAGCAATACATTTAGTAGTTAGAATGAACTGACTATATAAGAAGATACTTCGAAACTATGGGAAAAAACTCAATCTTTAGACACTTCGATGAGACCAGTTAAATCTCCCCAAGACAACCATGATTTAATAAAATGAGTCACAGAACATCCAGAGCAACCGTTGATTACAGCCAATTGCTTTAAGAATAAGTTAAACTGGTTATATATACTATCAGAAAATCTCACTGTCAAGCCGATTTTCATCACTCTATTTGTAAAGGGTTGCAATAATATCTGTACATTACTATTCTTAAGCAGTCTATATTGTTGAGATGTTCAGGAATTCAACGAGTGCATAGAGTAGATAGAATCAAATTTCCTACGACATATAAACTTACTAACCACGTTTAACCCCTTTTAAATCACCAGGCACTCCTTCTTATGGTATAAAAGGTTAGACATCTGCTAAACATATTAAAATTAGATGATGCCAACTGTTTACAAATGCATTCACCCGCTATGAGCCCCACAAAACCAGTCAGAAATAATGTTACTAACTAAATAATGATTAGTGGTCAAAACTCAAACGAAGTGACCAGACATCAATTGTGTCAGTGTAAATCTACAAGAACATGTGATATTTCAAACCTTAGGTACTGTCTTATTTTATATCTCTTTATTTCCTAAATTTATCAATCGTCAACGACTGATGGTAAGAATCCCTATTTCAGCCTCGGATAGTTTGTTATCACCGCACCCATGGCATAGTTGTTAGACTAGACCTATGAAGAGTTACGCTGTGATCCATTATCTTAAATATTTTTTGTGTATGGATGTGCAGACAACTCAGACAACGATTGAGAAAAGCTTGACTTCTGAAGCTTACAGTGTCAAAAAAACAGATAACGATTTTTACATCACAACTGTTAGGCCCATAAGGTTCAAGGATTTTAATAAGCAGATGCAAAATCTCATGACCGAGAATTAAGGAATTTGTAAAGAAAACACATATAGTTGGTAAGATAAACGTGAAGAACTGCCCATTATGGTGAAAATTCATCGAATTTAACAAAACGCATTTAAAGATATGTTTATATACCTCCAAGTTTTTCCCATACTGAACATGTGAACTTTATACGGCAACTATACGAACATAGGTAAGCAAGTTCATAACTTGCACCTTATCCATCTGTCCTTGAAACCCCAGGGTCTGATTGTCCAATAACCTTTTGACGAGCTCACGTTAACCAATTGATTGCTTTACACTCGTTTTTTGACAATGAAGTACGGCTTCAGGTCTTCGGTATCGTTTCATGTGGTTATTTTATCCTCTTGGATGAGATAGTTAGTTGAGGTATTATTCATCGAATATGAGTACTCTTGATACATGCTAGTGAATTTACTAGGACCAACATCCATCATATTAAACGAGCGAAGATGATTGAAGAGAAGATAAGGATAAAACTAATAAATGAAATTTTTTGCCAAAGTTATAAATTGCCAAGTTAGATGAATAATAGTCATGGATATAATAGAGCCTTTGACCGTCACACGGCTCACTGGGGGGAAGGACTCTAACCACCTAAACCACCCGAGGCTGCTTCGTGTTACACTTAAGAATGCCTCCGACGTAGAGGACGTCCTGCTAGCCAGTCACTTACTGAAGTCCGATGGGAACGTAAGAATACTGCCCGACATACCGTATTCTGAACGAAATCTCATCCGGAACATCCCTAAGGAATCTCGCGAGGCGTTTTCCGTGGACGAAATATCATTGTGCAAGGTGTTCCGGAAAATATGGACCCAGCTCAAGCAAACTCTGATATTCGGGAATGGAAATTCATCAAGAATTCCTTAAAACTCAAGAACATATTGACCCAACAGGTAATGAGACTGGCCAAGAGAGACGAAGACTCTAGGCCCCGGCTGCTGAAGATAACCTTCCCCTCCTCCCACATGGCGGCTGCAACTCTGGAAGCATTTCGTGCCAATAGACGTCGGTTGCCAACTGGCATCCATATGCATCCGGATAGGCCCCACGACAGCAGGATCAAGCACAAACGAAAGCTGGAGCTGACAATTCCACTCGTGGACTGTCTTGATCATAAAAAAAACGTGTGAAGGACAGGGACTACCAACTCGGTAAACATCGTATAGGTAGGCTACCTGTCCACTCACACACGGCTCATATAGACAAACAAGAAGAGGCTCACGCGTTCCAAATTGAAAGCATAAACTGCCTATACACGAACGCCGCGAGCTTGCCAAACAAAATGGATGAGCTAGGTGAACTTAGCAACGCTAATGATGCCTATCTGATAGGAATATCCGAAACTTGGATAACGTCTCAGTTTACGGACCAAGAGTTAGCAATAACTGGGATGTCTTTATTTCGCAACGACAGAAAAACAGGAATGGGGGGTGGGGTAGCACTATACGTACAGTCATGCCTGGATGCGCACCAACTTCACAACCAAGAGTTTCACAATCTTGACGAGTCAGTATGGTGCTCAGTAAGATTATCTACCACCTCGAGGTGCCTAGTTGGGGTCGTTTACAGGAAGCCCACTTCCGACATCGAATATGACAAACGTCTGCTGGAAGGATTAACTCGCTCTACGCGTCTCGGATTCTCTCATATCCTGATTCTAGGGGATTTCAATCTCCCTAGAATCAACTTCGTGGAACATACATACATTGGTGGTGCCAACTCTACTGAAGCTCTGTTCTTCAACCTTATCGGCGACCTGGGATTATTTGAAAATGTGAAGTTGGCAACCCGTTGGAGAAACAGTCAGACGCCGTCACGCTTAGACTGGGTATTCACAAATGAAGAATTCCTAGTTGACGACCTCTCAATCCTGGCTCCCCTGGGGAAAAGTGATCACGCCGTCTTATCATTCAGCTTTGTCAGTAAGACGGAGCTACGATATCCTACTAGCAACAAGCGCTGGAACTTCAAACGGTTGAATGTGTTAGCTTTACAGGACTATCTACAACAGGTGGATTGGGATGTTCGCCTTCAAATTGAAGTGGATGCTCATTTGGATTTTTTACTGCACACGATCTTATGTGCTACTGAGCATTCAGTTCGTAAAATGGTCCCAAAAAGCTACAAGCAACCTGCAATCATCAAGAACCGCACTCGTCGTTTGCTAAGCCGCAAAAGGCACTGTTGGGCTGAATATAAACGAACTGATAACAACGGCGCGTACAGGCAATACAAACATATAAGGAACATATGCACAAAGGCAATAAGAGAAGACAGGCTTCAGTTCCAGACCAAGCTTATCGATAGATTCGTCTCCAATCCGAAAAGCTTGTTCAGTTATGCAGCTTCTCTTCGACAAGGCAAAACTGGAGTTTCCCAACTGCTTGGTCCTAATGGCCCGACCAACAACGACAGTGATGCCGCTAACCTTTTGGCTGAACATTACTCCCGGACATTCCAGCTGACCCACATCAACCATACTGACGGAAGCTTCACCTGCACCTGTACAGGACTTTCCGAAGTGGACCTGAGTGCTGACCTGGTGCTCCGTAAACTGCAGAACCTAAGAAAAGACACTTCTCCTGGTCCGGACATGGTTCATTCCGCTGTATTGAGGGAAGCAGCTTCAATCCTGGCGACATCACTTAGCGTGATGTTTGCACACTCGCTAAGCAGAGGCAAACTACCGGAAATATGGAAGCTGGCCCACATCACACCAATTTTCAAAGGAGGTCGACGCAGTGAACCCTCAAGCTACCGACCAGTGGCCCTTCTCTCCATACCTTCAAAAATTATGGAATCCCTAGTATTCGACGGCATACTAGAACACTTATCACCCTCAAAGTTCCTCTCGCCTCAACAGCATGGTTTCAGAAAAGGTCATTCTTGTATGACCAACCTGCTGACTGCGGTGGATAGATGGACAACCATCCTTGATCGCAAGGGGAAGGATGACGTCATCTACCTGGACTTCTCAAAAGCTTTTGATAGGGTCAACCATGCATGTCTTATCAAGAAGCTTGGACGATTGGGTATAAAACCCCCTTTAATTGATTGGCTCTCTTCATATTTAGAAAACCGACACTTTAAGGTCAGGGTTAACTTCACTCTCTCTCAGGCTATGGAATGCCCTAGTGGCGTTACCCAGGGCTCAATACTAGGACCTCTTCTCTTCTTGATTTATATTAACGATCTTCCTTAACAAGTTTCATCTGACTTATTGCTTTTTGCTGATGATGTGAAACTTTGGAGAGAGATACGTAATCATAGTGATATACTAGTTCTTCAGGAGGATCTGACTCGACTTCAAAGTTGGGCAGACGACAACGGACTTACCTTCAACACTTCAAAGTGCAAGGTAGTCCATCTGAGACATGTTGCAGACTATAGTTATAACTTAGGTAACTCCCCTCTAGAAGTTTCCCAAGTTGAAAAAGATTTAGAAGTGTTGGTACCCTACGACCTGAAATCGTATGCGAACTGTGACAAAAACGCCTCTCAAGCAAACCTTGCACTGGTAACATTGAAGCGCATTTTTGGCCAGTTCGACGGTAGAACCTTCCATAAAATCTTCAACAGTTTTATTCGTCCCCACTTAGAGTACGGAAACATAGTATTTCCTCCCTCCCTCCAAAAGGATAAGGTCACTCTGGAACGTATACAACGTCGAGCCACGAAATCAGTTCGGGGTCTCAAATTCAAACCTTATGAAGAGCGCCTCAAATCACTTAACCTTTACCCGTAAGAGTATAGGCGTCTTAGAGGTGATCTTCTTATGACTTGTAGTATCCTTAATACTTCTGGTCATCCCCTTAAACAACTTCTTAAGCTTAGTCTTAACACTAACCTCAGTGGCAACACCCAGAAATTGGAGACCCTACATAGCAGAACAGACTGCAGACACAACTTCTACTCCGTTAGAGTTAGCAAGTGCTGGAATTCGCTGCCGGCTGAGCTAGTCCAAGCGACCTCCCAGGAGTCCTTTAAGAGGAAACTTGACTTATTCTTAAGGGCTAAGGATAACATATTACTATGATTTACCAAATTCTCTTTTTCCCTCTATTATCGTTCATATACCTAGGTTCTTGCCTGGAGGTATTGGTGATCCACTGCTACCAGCCCGTTAAGCGAAAGCTTCTTCTATTCCGTCCTCAACCATTTGAACCATTTGAATAAACAAAATAATAATGGGAATAATAGTGATGGTAATGAGAAGTTACGAGGCTTGCATCAGGTGAGGTTGTTCCAATTGGGGGAATGTAAACGGCTTGTGAGTATAAGTTATGGAGTCAAACAAACACTAAAAAAATTTTCATCAGTCCTCAACTCTGACAGTGACATCATTAGTTTCTCTGGTCACACTCTTGCTGAAGACGCTCGGCCAAACATCCGCACTAGGCCACAACTTGGCACGCTATGACACACATCCCTCCCAACTACAAATCAGGTCAGACCATATACTTCTCGACACATTAATCCTAATCTCAATATATTCTCGAACACCTTCATTCTTCATATTTGTTTTGTCTAGCTTTGAGACCTTTCATTAGAAATGTTTTACGGATAACAGTATGATCGAGCACTGAATACCCATGGAATCTTCAGTAATGGGCACCAAATGATTTGGTGCAGTGAATTATCTTCACGAAGGTTGCTGAGGCTTCTTGTACCAGCTGCTCTGACAACCGTCATTAAGGAACTCCCGACGGCGTATGAATTGAGAGAGCAACATGGAGCGCCGACTGCAGTTTGTTGTCGTAGAGCACCGATTGATAGTACACAAGCACATCAAGTGATAACATGTACGAGCAACAGGATACACAGGTGAATTAAGATTCGAATGGAGAGCAGAATAAATTAGTAAAATTCAAATACATGTAAATGGCACACTTAAATTTTCATCAGGCGATTTAAGCTGCGAATATTTAGGCCATAGAAAGGGATATGTGCGTAGGCTATAACATTTGGCCAATGAAAAATGTTCATACTGACATGAAAATAGTCATTATGTCCCATAACCTGTCAATTATCACGTGACTAAATCGCCAATCAGAACACTGACTAATGTGACCTTGGTCATGCGCCAAGCCAATTTTGCGTTATCCAGTACTAGCAGCCTATGGTCAACTTTGAC